GGGAAGTGGAGAGCTTCCATATTGGTCGGCGGGGGAGGGAAGGGGGGGGAGGGGGTTCGATTGCACAATGATAAACCGCATAGCTCACGCGTAAAGAATGAACACTCCTGGTTTTGCGGTGTCGCTCAAACGAGTCGATAGTCCTTTTCGTAACTGGATTAGACGTGGAAATGAGTCGAGCCAAAGAAGGCGATCGATCAAGTAACAGGTACCCACGATCGCTGGATGCCGCGTGAAGAGAGCCCGATGTCCATAACTACCACTAAGTTTCTATTTTTCCGACGAGAGAGGTGAAAAATGGGTGGGTAGAATTTCTACAGGATTGAATATATCCATTGCTGAAATAAGTGATTGCTGCTCTGAACATTCTTTCGATTCGAACTGAGAATTGTCAAGTATGCATGAGCCGATTTTTGGGTCTTTAATATCCGTGATTGTCAGAGACAGGGCCCCCGCCGCGCGTATCTTTTATTGTCATTCGAGATCCTCTGGCCTAAAGGTCTTTGGAGTCTAAAAGACGAATTTAGAGGCCATGAGACTGAAATTGTGGGTGTCATGCTGGCTCATGAGGCCCTTAAATTTTTGGAGTTGGAGCGAATGGGGCCCCTATTGACCAGTGCCGCAGGTCCCTGAGCGCTAATCTGGCCCTGGTCGGAGATTTAGGAAAATGAGAAGATTCACCATACAGTGTTTTGAGTAACAAAGGTGTTGATGAATTCATCCTCCTGAATAAAAAAAAAAAAAAAAAAATCGCCCTAGTTACCCATTTTAAAAAATAATAAAAAAAAAATAAAAAAATAAATAAATATAAAACCCTACATTGTTGGTAGCGCAGGAATTCAGGAAAGGAAAACGTTTAAAATAAAAATTTGTATTTAAAAACTCTACACAACTGTAATATTAGTATTATTTTGCATATTTTAGTTTGTTTTTTGTTTTTTGTTTTTTTTTTTTTTTTTTTTTTTTTTTTTTTACATCTGGAGATTAGAGGAAAATATTAGGAGTACTAAAAAATTTACGTATCTGTATGCATCCACACGGAGGAAATTTGCCACAAGTAAAACAAAAAACAAAAACGAAAAGCTCTTATACAAACTAGTGTTTGCAGCCACTATAAAACGCTGCAAAAGAATCTCGCTTCAGCGCTATCGCTTGATCCCGGCACGCGCTAATGATTTGTGCATTTTCAAGGTGAATTAATATTAATATTCGCACTGCCACACAGCTTTTATGGCAGGAGTGCATTACCTCACGCCTACAAGGAGTCGCATTCTATCTACTCTCCAGTCTAATTGTGAGCTTTTTTGATAATGTGCTCCGGTGCGATTAGGAGCTCATTGCAAAATATAGATGGAATTCCTCACTCAACACTATTCATACCCTCATAAACCGTTAAATCCAGCTCGCGAGCGGTTTTCGCCTACACGACTATTGTTGCCACTCGCGTGGCGCGTTTTGCGATGTATCGATTCATCTTTCATTTAAACCTATGGAAAAAGATCGATAAACAAGGTGTGCGCAACGAACACCTTAATAATCGATTCTTTACCATAGCTTCAATGCGGAAAAATCGATAATCATTCACGCCTCGCTATACTAGAGTATTGTTGCTCTCCTTGAGAGCGAGTAATTCAATAAGTTAACCAATCGCTCAGAATATTTCTCATCGATCTCCGAGTGCTGGAGATAAAGCACGCAACTTGCACCGCGCAACTGGATCGCATTCACCTGCATATGTAAGTTTTCCGGTCTACATTCGCTCTCGAGCGCGCAAGCTTTTCGGACCGGCTGGCGGTATCACTCAAGGCGAATGTAGTTATTAACGTGAACCTACGCAGGAAGTGAGCAAACGTCGAGATATCGAATTTTTGCTTAATTATTTGTTTCACTGAAATTTGTTGGCAAGAAAACTTATTCATTTCGCTTTACAGCGAATTGTAGCTGTCTCTTTCAGAGAGAGTTCACTAGAAGAGTCTTTTTGTAAACGCTGAATGCTGAAAGCTCCAAAAGCTGAGAGAATGCGAACGCGAAAAATTAAGGTTTCGGGTGCACAAAAAGCATTTCTTGATTGCTGTTTTTCGGAATCTCCTTGTGAACTTAGTCTACTGGTGCTCCGATTCGATGATCCCAAAGCAATGAGAAGCATGAGACATTCGTGCCCAATCGCACCGGGCTGTAAATTTAAGCCGCAATTCTGAATGGACTTTTTTAAGCGAAAAAATATCAATATGTTGAGATGCTTGCTTGAATCATCCCTAAAAAGACCACGGAACAAATTTGCTGCAGTCGTCGCTCTTAGATCAAAGGAAGGTAAAAATTGCAGCCCACATTTTAAGACAGCAACATTGTTATACATTTAAACAATTTAAGCATTATTCGGATAATTGACAATGTCGCGAATAAAATCAGTAATACTTTACTTTATCGACGCAATGGACAACGCTGGAATTAAGTTACGGCGTGAGAGAAACATGCAGGTGATGTCGCATTCAAGGCACACTATCCAAATTTCGTATTAACCCCTGGATGCAACTATTCGGGCTCAGTGGATGTCCGTGTTGCATACGCAGGGATTGGAAGGCGTTTTGACCTTCCAGACACTCGCTGCTTCAACCACGGCGCGGCACCAGCGGTTGGCTTTACGACAAGTATCAAAAGTGACAGAGTGATTTCAATTTTTCGCTTACACTACAAAGATATCTCATAGACACGAGGATTTGAATTCAGGTGTAGGATGTGAGTATCTTTTGAGCCTCAGTTTTGACATCGCGATGTGCTGAGCATGATTTGTAGAGCAATTAATCATATCTGAGGGATGTCTTCGAAGTATAAGTGAAGGCATTTTGTTACTTTAAATTCTCACAGTAAAGTCCGCCGCACAATGAAATGAACCTTTCAGAGAGGTTTGACATAAAATTTTACACTAAAACTGCAAAGATATTAATTTCTTCACGTTATAAATTGTATGTGGTGCTCCTTGAAGAAACTTTTACCAGTAAATTAATGAAACCACTTCTAAAACCACTCTAATTCCGTTTTAACATCTATATGAGCTTTCAATGTTTCCGCATTTTGTACGACTCCCCTCATTGAGCCGCTTCACTGAGCGCTGCTGGTGAGGCGGCTCGTGTCCGAAGTCAAAACGCCTTCAATCCCATGCGTATGCAACGCGGACATCCATAGAGCCCGAATAGTTGCATCCAGGCGTTATAATGGAATTCGTTTGGTTTCTGTCGCATGTATCACTGACTGAAGTTTTGATTGTTGCTCTTCACACATTAATTTGATTCCAGCGTTGCCTATCGTGCCGATGAAGTAAACTATTACCGATCTCTATCACCACATTGTCAATTTTCCAAGAAAAGCATTATTAAAATGTGTTAAAATGTTGCTGGCTTTCGAAATCGTAAAAATTAGGTACTTGAGCATGGTACGTGGAGTTTTCTTTGACCTACTTCAATGAGTCGTCCTTCGTTTGGATTTTTCTTTGTTTTGTCTCTTTTGAAAAAAACTATAGTTTTGACGTTTAAGGTGATTTGATAGACGCCATATTTTGTGTCAAAACGACATACTATATATCACATCGATTGGTTCCATTTTCTAGCTGCTCGTAATTTTTCTCGAATTTTGAGATCGTAATTCTGTTGTCAGGAGACCAAATAATTCGCTTACCAATTTTGACAAACGAATTCAACATAATAAAGGCGTGGTTTTTTAGAGGGAAAATATCGCATTCGATTGCAGTTTCGATATCAGTATCGAATGCGATATTTTTCCTCTGAAAAAACCGCGCCTTTATTACGTTGAATTTGTTTGCCAAAATTGGTAAGTGATTTCTTCAGTCTCCTGATAACAAAATGGCGATCGTAAAATTTGAGAAAAATGAAACTAATCGATGCGATATATCGCAT